CCCCCCCCCCCCGCCTGTTACGACACTGGCTAACACACAGTCATCCCCTCCCCCTCCAATGAAAAATGCATTTCTACGCCACAGTCCTTAAGTGCCTGTGCAATGGCATATACGGCAATGTACGTTGTGTACGCCTCGAAGACTGTAAATAGGATTTTGCAGCAGATTCGATAGTCTAATTGTCGATGTTTTTTTCATTCGAGGAGGTTTGTATTAATATGTAAAAAATACATATAATTTTTTTTTCTCCCCGACGAATTGTGCTTTTTCTCCCCGACGGGGGCCAGCTCTTCCCGACGGGGGAAATGAATAGGAAATTGTTTACCGATGTATAGTGGCGTAACGACTTTGCGCTCTTGTGCAGTGGTCCGCAGGGCCCCTGTCACCTAAGGCCCCGGAGGTGCCCCAACCCATAGGGTCCTCGCTAGGGCACCCTTACCCAAAAGGGCTTTGTTGATACATAACAGCATAAAGTATCTCCAAGATCGACTGTAAGACATATATCATAGTATATCTCGTGAAAGTTTAATGGTGGCCGTATTTGTTTTTAAAATCTACATAAAACAAAAAATAAAACAAAAATTAAAAATAAAAGAGTAGTAATAATAATAATAATATAATAATAATAACATTGCTCGAATAATACTATAATAATGAATAATAATTAATAATTTTTTAAATAAAGATGTTATTTATTTCATTATGTTTTACAAAATAATCTTATAAATTATAAGTTTATTCTCTATGATAATTTTATCCACATAATTCAAGTTTTCAATGTTAATATGGTTGACAAACAATATATGAAATAATAATAATAATAATAATAATAATAGTAATAATAATATGTTATATAATAAAGGTGCTCGAATAATGCTTTAATAAAGAATTAATAATACTTCAATAATACTTCAATAGGCCTATTTGCGATAGTGTGATTAATGAGATATTTGTTGATTAATTTATAGAAATATATAATAGGTATATACCATTAATAATGATTCAGCATATTAAATCAAATTTTACGTCTATAGATGTAAAATCTGGGTTTTTTTCAATAAAATGTTACTTATTTTATTCTGCTTAAAAAATGATCTTATATATTACATTATAAAGTTTCATTTTAAATTCTATAAGAATTTAATCCACATAATTTATGTTTTCAATTATTTAAGCATTTATATTTATACGCTGGATGTAAATGTTAAACAAAACAAAAACAAACAAAAAAAAACATCGCCAAAGTGTTTTCGTGTATGCAAATGCTAATACTATCGCGCGATTACCGCGTATTTTTGGTAAGCAGAGCTCAGAATGGTTCACACGTGGTGACGAATATCCGTCGAAATGCCGTATAAATAAACTGCAATTATGTAAATAACTTTCACAAGAACTTTACGAATATCTTAATTAATATAATCTTAATTAATATCTTAAATTAGTTACTTACTAAATTAATTAATAGATTGATATAAACATTGTGACCTATAACTAAAATTTATTAATATATTTTAATAATTAAATACAAGAATCCTGCAACGAATTTTTCAGGTCAGAAATTGACATCGAAAAGTAGTAATTTTTCAATCGCGATCTTCGTATTTGTCGGTTCATGGAAATAGCGTCGATAAACATATAATAATATAATAATAATTACATATATATAAATATATCTACATGTATAATTTTTATTATATACATATATTTAAATTATTATATTTTTATTATATATATATACATATACATATATATATACATATACGTATATATATAT